GGGCAGGTGGAAGGGGTGGGGTGTGTGTGGGGGGAACAGACCATGCTCTCAACATTAAGCTGATCCCTAGCTTTACTCTATGGCCCAAGACAAAACACCGTGGCCAAGTGGCGAACTGGGGTTTCACTTTCCCACTGTCATGTCAGCTAGAGTTAATAGGGTGCGGATTAGTTTTATCATGTTCTGGAACTGTACTGAATGCTTTTCTTTTTTTTTTTTTCTCCCAAGTTTTTTTTATTTATGCATACAAGAACTGGGGTACCTGAGGTGTGTGGGAGGTAGGTGAGAGGATTCATCAGAGACAGAGGGGACCAGAACAGGCAGCTTGAATACACTGCTGAGGGCAGCAGCAGGTGGGACCGGAGAGGTCTGCCTTCCCTGTGGGTCACCTCCCGCCTGGGACTGAGCTCCCTCTGCAGTGGCTGCCCACTCTTCACAGGGCTGCGTTTGGCTCCTAGTGCCACCAGGGAGGCCCCTGAATACTTTTCCTTTAATCCCCACCATCCTGTGAGATAAGCTCAATCACTACTCTCAAGTTGTCTGGTTGCAGGGCCAAGCTCGGAAGCCCAGTGCCATGAACTGCACCTTACCTGAGACAGCAGTCCCTTCCCTTTCCATGTCTGTTTTCACATTTGTCAGACAAAAGCCCTTTGACCAGAAGAGCCAGGTCAAAGTCTCCTCCCAGGCCTAAAACTCTGCAGAGGGCCACTTTATGCACTTACCTCTCTTTCTGCCTCATTGCTCTGCCCTCTTGGGTCCTTTCACCCCCCATCTCTGGCAGCCTGTGTCCTGGCCAACCCCCCCTCCCCCGCCAGTCCTCCCCACACCTGTACTGCATTTGCTTTCCTGGTCTCTGTGAGCCCCAGAGCCAGGGATGGTGATTCCCCCCTCCCCCACCGTCCCACCTCCATAATCACATATTGCACAGTTTGCAAAGATCAGGTTTTAGCAAACTTTCTCTGTTAAGGGTCAAAGAGCAAATATTTTAGACCTTGAGAGTCATGTGTTCTTGGTGCCAAGACAGAGGAAAGCATGAATAAACCAATGTGGTCATGTACTCGGAAAACTACTTAACAAAAGCAGGCAGTGGACAGGATTTAGCCCCAGGGCAGGATGCTGACCTGTGAGGATGAACATCAGGGTTCCCCTCTTCAGAACAGCAGCGGGGGCAGGGTCTGGGAGGGGGGATGGAGAGCAGAGACACAAAGAGGGCCCAGCTGACCTCAGACTACGCAAAAGAGCAAAGGCTGCTGGCCTGAACAGAGGTGGCTAGGAGACGTTGTTCCGACTCTCCTGTGCAGAAGCTTCATGACCAGGGATGGAGCTTGGCCTTGAGTGGTGGGTAGAATTTCTGTAAGCAGGAGTTGGGGGGGGGCACAATGTGCACTAGGAAGGGGGCAGTCCCCAGGGTCAGGATGGGAGGGCACCCTAGGACTCAGGCGAGGAGCCGGGGCTTCTCTCGTTCCCTAGGCAGGGGCTCTCCTTTCGTCATTCAAGAAATATTTTTAATGCCTTCTGTGTGTTAGGCACAGTTGCAGGGGTGCACGGACGGAGGACGTTCATAATTGGCATTTTGCACTATCAACACTTCCAAAGAGATTTAGGAAGCTTTATCTTGTTCTCACAAGCACAGATTGAACGATCTGCTTAAGTTGTATCTCTAATTAAGAGCAGATGCTCATACTCCACGTGTAAGCCACTCTCCTGGGCGACACTCATTTCTAGCTGCCTGCTACGTCTCTCCACGGGGATGTCTGGGAAGAGCTCATCTTGTTCTTCTCCCCTGTATTACTTTGCTAGGGCTGCCACGAAAAGCCCCATAAAACGAAGTGGCTTCAACAACAGATAGTTACTGTTCTGAAGGCAGAGGTGGGGTGGCAGCAGGCCCGGCTGCTTCTGGGCACTGAGACAGAAGCCAGCTGCCCTCCTTTGCCCCACCTCTGGAGCACTGCTGGCAAGCTCTGGCTCTCCTTGCAGACGAACCATCCTGATCTCCACCCTCCTCTTTACACTGTGTTCTCACTATGTCCTCATCTGTGTTGGAATCTCCCCTTTTTATAGATCACTAGCTTGTTGGATTAGGGCCCACCCTAATAAACCACACTCTTCATGTGGCTACCTCTATAAAGTCCTCACTTCAAATAAAGGGCACATTTTGAGGTCCTCGGGGTTAGGACTTCCACTTCTCTTCCTTGAGGATATATATGGTTTAGCCCATCATACCTCGCCAACACTCCCCTCCCCATCCTGATTAGGTGGAAACCTCACTTCTCAGGTTTCTCATATCCAGCTGGTGTGGTGGCCCAGAACTGTCTAGATCAGGCGAGGCTAGATCTTCATAACTCTGTCAAAGGCGGCCTGATAGGCTAGGAGGCCACAGAGGGCTCTTGCTATTCACCCCGAATGGTGGTGAGTGTGAGGATGGGTCCAGATTATTTATACCAGGGGGGCTATGGAAGGAGGTACAACAGTCACGTGAACCACCGGCATTTTGGAATGTCAACTCCAGCGTCAGGGATGTGGGAGACACGACCGTGGCAGGAGGTGTGGCTAGGAGGCAGGCGCATAATCAGGAGAGGAGGAGGAGGCCGGAGCTTCGAGTGATGGAAAGGAGGTGACAGGGGACATGGACATCAGGGAGCAGAGTGGGTTGGCCTGGAGAACAGGCCCAGCAGGAGTAGTGGAATCACAGCTGGAGGTGATGAGGTGAGAGGCCCAAACGGGAAGGACCAGCTCCTCATGGAAGGAGGCTACACTCGGATCTGGAGCTTAGGAAGAGGCCAGAGCTGGCACTTTGTTCCGAGTCCTGGGTGGATTAAGTCACCCCGGGGAAAGCCAGCAGGAGCGCCTCGGCAGAGCTGGCCACAGACTAACCCCTGAAGGTGAGGGAACTACCCAGAAACTTGGGGGAGAGAACTGAGAACTAGGCCAAGGAAGCCCAAGAGGCAGGGGAGAGCCAGAGGGGAGAGGTGTTCCTGAGCCAGAGGGGAGAGGTGTTCCCGAGACCGAGCAGATGAGGCAGGCCACCAGCATCGAGCGCAGTGGCCACGAGCGTGGGCTGTTCCTCAACACCGGCAGCTTGTGGTGGACGGACGAGGTCGCGCTCCGGTCAGAAGGAAACTGCAAAGACGCCGCTCTCGTCTTTTAACTGTTTATTGTATAATATAAAACTACAAAAGTAAGACTGCTCATTTCCATGTACATTTAATCTGTCCAATTGTTTAGATTACAGCCCAAACCTACATGTGAGTACAGCCATCTGGTTTCCGATGTAACGTCTGTAATATTGCATAGAAAAGGCACAGCTCTCAGGTCTGTGGGGGAAAGGTTACACCTCCTTTTTTTCGACAACAGCCCTCCTCAAAACCACGCACCAAACATTTCAGTATGTACAGCTTTTCCAAAATCTTGGTTGTTTGCTCAAATGGATCGCACTTCTCTTTCAAACGTGTTATCCCCAAAAGACGTCCAAATTTTGTATTGGCCTTGCCTGCATTAGCATTTGATCTTGGCTAAATTTCAAGAGCCATTCAGACTTTCTTAGAAGCACTGGAAACAATGGTTCACGAGCAGGGCGCACCTCGCTGCCCCTGGCAGTTATAGGAAGTTAACCATTCACAGCCAGAACAGGTTAAATATGCTCTTTTCAGCAAAAGGTCCAATTTGTAACAGCAAGGTTTTGAAATTAAGACAATTCCTAGAGAGAGTAACAATTGCTGCACAAAGTAGAGTCTCTCGTTTATTTTATTTTCACTTCTGTCATTTAAGAAGGCTGCCCTGTGGTATTCATAATTTATTGTTTACCACAAAGGTGGCTAATAAATTTAAGCTTTAAAAATGATCTGTAAGTTGATACTTTGGCTCTTTGGAGCTTATTTATTAAAGAACTTTTCTTCGATTGACCGCAGGGCAGTTGGGACACTCCAAGGGGTCATGGCGATAAAACGCTCAGTTGAGAAAGACACTGGGGTGTGCGGGGCTGTGGCTAGTTCTCACCCTGTGGTGTGAATGCGGGTGTCAGTGTGATTGCCCCTTCTGTCAGCAAGAGAAAGTGCTACTAAAAAATAGTTAAAAATATCAACCCTTTGATGCTTGATTTTCTTAAAAATTTGGAGGTATTGAAACATCCCTCACCCATACCTTTTGCATATTTCAAATAGACCCATATTAGAGAAGAGAGTAAAAATGAATGTGGACTGTGCATATGATGAGAAGACCTGGGGGGGGGGGGGCCTGGCTCAGCCCCTTTTAATACAGATTTACATTCCTACAAGAGAATACATTCCTACCATACATTCTGCACATGTTACGATCCAGATGTTGTTAGAGCTCCACAGTAAAATAAATATATTTACACAGAAAAAAAAGGAATAAATAACTTATGAAAAAAAAATCACTTCAAATTCAAAGCTCTTATTATTCTGCTCTCATCTTGTCACGTCATTGCACACCACTGTCAATAATTGTCCTCTCCCAAGCCCCACCAGCAGAGCTTCCTCAGGAAGGCACCTCACGCTGCCGGCCCGACTCTGAACACCACACAATGTCCTTTACGAAGGGGAAGGCTCTGCGATGCACGTCCACCCCCCTCACTGTCGGGACATGGCTTCGTAAAGTGAAGACACAAAGATACCTCGAACACTTGATGGGTTTGTTCTTTTTGAAACAGGCCACTCATTTCTCGTGTTTTCCTCCCTAGATCTGGAATATGGAGAATCTACAGTAAGGGTGTCCAGAGTTTAAAAAAGCATCTGCCTGCTGTTGCTGGGGGTTTTGTTTTGATTCTGGAGCCCAGCCTTCCAAACACGAGAGAGTCAGAGACCCACGTGTGGGCAACACTTCACTGTGCTTATTTGAACTGTTGCCCAACATATGGGATTTGTTTAAACACATGATTAGCTAATCCAACCAAAGTACGTTGTTCTAAGTTACTGTAAATCAGTTTTTAACAATGGCAAATCAAGCGCCTTACCCTGTTATTGTTCGGAATAATCAACACCATTGTGAGTGTGGATGCGTGTGGACGTGTGCGGCATGTCCTGCGCTCGCCAGGTCCTCCAGTTATCAAAAGCACGGCGTCTGGGCAGACTTGTTCTCTACAGGGAAAGGATGCTCTTAAAGTGGACAGGCACAGTGACACCGGAAGCATCGACAACAACCCTCACCTCAACTAGCTGGTCCCTGGTCCTATCAAAGGAAACGACGTATCCTAGCAGTGAGAGGTTACCGGGTGCAGGTTGCTTGTAGGAGAACAAGTGCAATGGGATCTGTTTCTCACTGCGCTGCAGAGTTGACAATTAGCCTTTAAAAACACATTCAAGTTGGGGGGGGGAGGTAGGGCAGGGGCGGGGAGAGAAAGTAAATTAGAATGCAAGAAGATTTAATCATATTATACATGAATCTTTTGCTTAGACGAGCAGATCCTTCATCACAAATATATTTACTTTGCCATGTGCATTATAAAAATAAAACTATCTATGGCTTGTTTAAAGTGCCATTTTATAAAGCTGTCTTTTTCAATTGGCCAGAAAGACTCAATTTTATCCATGGCAAGAAGTGAGCAGAACTGGTGACTGAATATTGACAAATGACGGACAACAAAGACAACAACAACAACAACACAAATCCCATAATTTAAAAATTCTTAAATAAATATAAAAGTTATTCCTAAAGAAGCCATCTGCATTTCAATAATACAGGTTGTAACCAGCTAAAGTACCATTGGGAGAAAGAAAAAAACTGAAACGAAAAGGCCATAAACAATTTCGGCAACAAGCATGATACGTCGCAAACATTTTAAAATTAAATGTACACCACTAGGAATAAAAAGCTATTTCTCAAGTGTCTTGGGGCTGGGGCTGAGGGTGGGGATGGGTTGAAAGAGGGGAAACATGCACAGCAAGTCCTGTCTGTGTATTTGGGTAAAACAGCCTTGTAAAGAATAGTTGAAGCAGTTGACTCAAGAAAGCAACCAGATCGGAAGCTGTGACTTAGCGGGGCCCACTCCAGCCACGGATGTTATGAGAGAGCATCCCAGGCTGGGCTGAGGTGAGCTGAGCTCACTGTGGTGATCTGAAGATGCCATTTGCAGCACTTAGCAACAGAGGAACAAAAGCTCTAGGGAAGGGAAGCAGGGAAAGACAATTGAGCAACAGGACGGATGCCTGGTGGGGGAGGTTTTCTTCTTTACGAGCCGAGCCCTAGCAATGCAATAGGGTTTAGTTCCATGAAGATGTTGGTTGCTTTTCATAAAATCGCTTGGATGTGAAATGTCAGGTCATCACAAAAATTATGCCCAAAAGGAAAGACCTGGGGTTTTGTCAAAAAACAAAACAATGAAAAGCGCCAACCTGGCATAAACACAGTGAGTACTCTGAGCGAAAGACAACCACCACTTAAACCCCAAGCTCGATGGCCACCTCCTGCCAACTGCTTAATGCAAGTTTGATGAGTTGACGTGGCTCTGGCTTTGGAAGTCACAGTGCTGGTGGGTGTCCATGCCAAGGGGTTGGTGCCTGTGAAATTTGGGTGTGATATTGCCTGGCCCTTTCTTAAAGCACTGAGAGAGAGAGAGAGAGAGAGAGAGAGAGAGAGAGAGAGAATGTCCGCATGTCTGCATTTGGGGAACATCAATTGCGAATTGATTTGATCAAATTTTTCTCTTTGCACCAAACATATAAAACATTACAACTCTATAAAAGTACAAGTGCAACTTGTACATCTGAAGTTTGCAGGAACTATGTGAGCAAATCCTATCAAAATAGCTATCTCATATGTATAAACAGCATTTGTTTTTAGAAAAACAATATCATAAACTGCAGAATCTGTACAAAAATATAAAATAAATTTGGGCAGCAGTTTCTAAACAGCCATGTAAATGCAACACTTAGGAGGAATAGTTAATGCCTCTAAAAAGGCTGAATTGCCAAGTCAACCTATACAGGGCAAAAATGCCAGAAAAGGTACTGAGATTATCTAAATAATATATATATTTTTTCTTCTTTTTACCTCTTGCAATAAAACTTATAGAAAAAATAGACAAATATGCACATGCAATTTACAGCTTTTCCAACTTATTCCTTGTGCTTCACTTGAACTGTTTGTTTTGCCATTCAGCATAGCAACATTGTCTTCCAATGTCTTCTTTCCTATTCCAAGGTAGTAGGTCTCTGAGGAACCACTCAAAAAAAGCATATTAAAAGTGGTCATACTTGGATGAAGGCACTCCAACTCTGCTCAAAGCAAAAACTAGTGTGATCCTTTTGTAAAATGTTCTCTTCTTCTCTGAAAAAGGCAAGCGAGGGTGCATGCACAGTGCCAGAGCTGTCAGGGCGCAGCGACACTCACGGGGCTGGTGGGCCGCCACCAGGCCTTAAGACCCGACCAGCACCTCCATGATGTGGTCCAGCTCCGTGAGGTCCATTTTGAAAGGCTGACTCGGAGCAACGGGCTGACTGCTGTAAGGGGCGAGAGTCTTGAGGAGGTCGTCGGCGGACACAGGGGCCATTTTTGAGGCCGTGCCCGACGAGGATGTGCAGGGGTCAAAATCGTACATGGACGTGTCGATGTCTGCAAAGAGGATGTCGTCCAAGGTCAAGTCTGTCAGAAACCCCGTGGACGTCGTGATCTCAAAATTCCCAGGCAGCGAATCCATCAGTCTGGAATCGTCGGCTCGGCCCTCGGGGAGCCCGTCGTGTTTCTGGAGGCTGGACTGGGCGGCGGCGTCCCCTTTCGCGCTGTCAGTCGCCGCGGCGGCCTCTGTGGAGGTAGATGTGGGACAGAGCTCCTCAATCTCGTCCAAGGCGGAGGAGAAGCTGTCCTTCTCCGGCGGGAGGGCTGGAGGTGAGAGTTTGGTAGGACACACAGGCAGGGCCTGGGAAGTGCAAAAAGTGTCATCGTCCTCCTCGAGCAGGGAGGCCGGGGTGAGGCAGGCCTCCAGGGGCGTAGTGCTTCCGAGGTCACAGGGGTGCGTGGCCGGGCCCGCGGGGTGGCTGAGGGCCGGGGGAGCCTCGCGGTAGCTGTCACTCAGCGCATCGGTCGGCTGGGAGGAGGGGGCGAACACAGGCCTCAGGCTGCCTTCCTGTTTGAGCTCCTCCTGGATCCGCCTCAACATGTTGTTGATTAACACGGTCTTTTGCAAGCTGGGCTCAGTGAGGGGCCTGTGATTATAGAGTTTCATAAGGGAAATGTTGAAGATAGTCTGGCGCTGTAAGGTGTAAGACACCTTGGATGGCCCGTCAGAGGGAGACACAATTTTGCCTTCCAGCCCATCTTCATGCTCATCAAACTTCCGTTTTCCTCCTTTACCCAACATATATCTGCAAAGGAGAAAGGAAAGGGAATCAACCATGAGAAAACTCATTTTTACCATAAGAAAGATGCTGATTGGGAGGCCAGGACTTGGAGCACCGTTCCTTGCCCAGGGTTAGAACACACGAATTATTGGGGAAGCCATTCAGAACCCGTAAGGACTGGGAAAGCTACCTTTGTGTGCCCAGGGAGCAGTTTTTGTCACTAGGTAGTCTGGTGAATATATTGAGAAATGTGTACAACACAGACAAGTTAAACGTTACCATGGAAACCGTGATTTTGACTTTCTCAGCTAGTGTGCTTGGTTCGCATGCCTAACATTATCATGCAGGTTCAGTTCCCTCCCCCAAACAGATTTATTTTTAAAGCCCAAGAAAAAACACTTACAATGCTATGACCTAAACAGATAAAGGTGTCACAGATTACAGCTTGAAAACGTCTTGAAAGATTAAAAGAACTGAAGTTTGAGAAGGAGGAACATGAACATGTAGAGTTGGTGGAACTGTGTGTGCTTTCAAAATGTCTTTTCCTTCCTCATTATGCAGAAAAACCTTTCTGCCTGTTTGGTGACATGTGGTGAAGCACTTGGCCTGCGTTAAATGACCATCGTGATTGCGCTACCGCCGCTTTTTCGATCTTCAATCCGTGGAGGAATGTGGATTTCCCAGCCCAGATTTTTCCATGCCTCAGTTTCATTGCATAGTTATGTCTGAATGCAACTGGATTAATTTAAAAGTAATTTGCTCTGACTCTATGCACTGTTGTTTGGATACTTGAGTCATTTCATAACAAAATACCTACTGTGATTTGGGAGGTATGTATTTCAAAAACAACCTCGTATCTCAAGACCATGAGCATCTGATAACAGGTTGAGTTTTAACTCCTGTCCCACCATGATCAACCGTTTAGCTGTCTCCTCTCTTGCTTTCTACTCTCTTGCTTTCTCTCTCCTTTCCTGCTCTGGCCCCAGGAAAGACACCCTGAGCTCGTCATGCCTACTGGAGGGTGGTCTTCCCCTTAGAACTGCTCCCAGGCAAACACGACAATCCGAGTCCTTCACCTTTGCCTCACAGACTTCACTTTCTAATCACTTAACCAAAAAACCTGTCCTAGTGGACAGACCAGGAGACAAGGTTCTAAGTCACCTAGCATACAAGTGCCACTTGGGGTAACACCTTTACATGCCTCAGTTTCCAGGAGAGAAAGCTGAAGACAGTTGCAACTGTTGGTCAGAATCCATTTGTGAGTTTGTTAATGCTCACAAAAAATCTGCAGTTACTTGTCTTAAACTTTCCCTCATTTTGCAAACATTGTGTAATAAAAATTTTGTGACATGGCTGTCAATCTAGAGCCAAAGACCATTCCCATAATTAGCTGGAAGGCAGTACAGTAACGACTCCCTATTTAATACTTCACTTGTTTCCTACTAAATGTTTCCTACCATTCAGTGTTAAGAGGATTTATTTGCATACATACTTTGCATAGAACAGGCCCTACCTAAAAAAATCTACCCATTTAAACTTGAGGGTGAATCAGAAGGTGATTTCATTTCACATAATAAAAGCACTTTCTACCATAAGCATTAGAAATGTCATGGTGATATAGGCCTCCCTGGTGGTACAAGGGATTAGGTCTCAGCACTACGAAACCACCAACAGCCACTGTAGCACAGGTTCGATCCCAGGACAGGGAGCTGACCCACATGGCACAGCAGATCTCTCCTGTCTCGCCCGCTGCTCCCCTCAACAGTGCATTTCAGTCAATCCACCTGTTCTCCTCCCCACTCTATCTCTGGTGAATCCTCTCACACCTCTGGCCTATACCCCAGTTCTTGTATATAAAAAAAAAAAAAAAAAAAAAAAAAAAAAAAAAAAAAAAAAAAGCATTCCAGTGACAACTTGTTTTGAAACAGATAATTGTATTTACAATCATACTGTTAGTATTTGCTTACAATTTAAGTATCTATCCACTAGAAAAATCCTACTTTTGCCAAAGAGCTTATTGAGTGCATTTAATTCTCATACAAAGCTTCTATATGGTCTGTTATGTTACAGTGTCATCAAGCACAACACCTTTAAAAATGTGTGTGGGTGTACACAAATGAACTAGGAATACACTCTGACAGAGTGTTTCTCAAAGTGGGGTCAGTAGTTGTACTATCTGTGAATAGTTTCAGGTCCTAAGGAAGTGAGCACAGAGATACTGCATTACTTAGAAAACTTCTATAGCAAGTCAACAGAGTAACTGTATGTTTCTAATTTTTAAAACAAAACTTCTATTTTCTACCTCTTTGTACTTTTATTTCATTTTTCTAGTAGTTATTTGCATCATGTTTTACTAAAGTACTAATCCATTAAGAAAGAAAAACAAACAAGACAATCTCTTATCACAAAATGTTTGCTAAGCACTGTTCTAAAATGTAAACCAAATAAAAATAAAATAAAATAAAATGTAAACCAAGTACCCAACTAAAAACAAGCTAAGTAGCTCAAAGCCATTTTGGGTTTTTATTGGTTTTCTGGAGAAGTGACAGGCAAGAAGAGTGTAAACTTTTCCTTTTCTTTAGTCATTGATGTCGAACTATCTTTCAAGGACTTGTTGCCAGAATAAACAAAAAGACTTCCTCAATAACTCCCATTTCTCTAGAAATACTCAGTCTACAGAACTCAAATATTTTAAAAGCCAACTGGCCATGCAGAAGTATTTAGCAGAATTTCCACAGCTGAAGGAGACTGTTGGACATACTTTCAGAGTCAATGCGAGAAGCACCCAGTTCCAATTAGAACGATCTAGTCGGTCACAGCTGTGTGATAATCCTAACGATTTAGGAAAAGTCTGATAAGACATTAGTAATGCTGTCCGGGGAAGAGGAAGGAAGGCCCTTGTAAGCCTGAGACCAAAAACAGACAAATCGAGTCTTGGATGCTTTTCAAATGTGTAGACAGAGTTTGTCTCAAAGCAGCCTCTGCTTGCACTTTTCTATTTTGTTTTATGAAGCAAAACTGGTATCAGACACCTGGTAAGACTGCAAAATACACACAGTCCTACTTGTAATTCTAATTTTATCTAAATTTTCACAGAATGGGATAAAATGCAACATAATTAAATCTCCATATCATCATTTAGAAATGTTGAAAATTAAAAATGAATTTAAAAAGTTAAAAGTTTTCCCAAAGTTTGCTCAACACATTCAGAAAAGGCCTCAACTCTGAGGCAGTGAGCTCTCATGCTCCGGCTGTTAAGACCTCACCCTTCTAGAGTGGGGCACAATTCAAACTCAAGACTTTCAAGAACGAGAGACAAGAGTCGAATGGTGTCTCTAGGCCAAGCGCTCGGGCTGGCCAAAGCCAGGGACAGCCCAGCTCCTAAGAAGCTACGTTCCTCAGGCAATCAGTGAACATACTTAGCTCTTTAAGTAAGCTACTGGAGAGCCATGTGACCTCTGAAAGGCCTTGCTAGACTGCAGCTCAAAACAAAGCAGTGTTAAGTGCTCAGGAAGAGCTTCAAACTACCAGGGGGGTGCAGGAAGGGTAAAGCAGATGTCTTGTTCTGACCAAAAGGCCTGGTCTTGGCTGTGGATCACTGACACGAGCACAGGGTGGCTGTGGGGTTCACTGAAAGAGGAGGCTGGGTCAAGTCTGGTGCCTGGGCTGCCCCTGGGCTTGTACAGCTCACTTTTCTCCCTTGGCTACTGATGACCCAAGACCAAACCAATTGGTTTCTAGCCAATTTGGCATCAAACCCTGAACATCAAGGAGGGCTAGGGTCCCCAGTGTGGAGACGTGAGATGGGGAGCCTTCCCTTTTCTGCCCATCTAGAGGAGCCTAAAGCTAATCATAGCCACTTTTCTTGTGAATACTCATTGGCTTTTACATAAGATATACAAACATCTCCCCTCTCCAAAAACTTTTTTTAGAAACAAATGCCTAACATTCTGATTTTCTTGACATAATTTTAGCAACTATTAACTACAGCAAACTGAGCATTAAAAATGAAGACCAAACCTCACAGGTAGCAACAGAAAAATTTCTCTTCCAGAGTTTCCCAGGAAGTCGATCCTGAACACAACTCTATATACCAAATGTGCCTTCAAACTGCGTAGCTTCCCCTAGGAAAGGTCCTGTCCTCAAGAGCTACAATCTGCTTTTAGAACAGTAACAAATAACCAACACCCCTAGGAGATTTGCTAGAAGAAATACAGAGAAAGCAGGAAATGACAGTACCTGGCTACTTGTGGGTTGCAGATTCTGAGAGATTATTATGGATGGTGATGGGCAGACCCTGGAGACAGGACTTTTTTTTATACTCAAGGTGGGATTGTCTCCTAAAATCTGTTTCCCACCCCTTGGGAGTGAGCCCATGAGGGCTCAGGCTTGGGCTCTCTGGCAAGTGCTTCTCACTCTAGTTCTCTACCTTACCACCCACTCCCACCCCCCCAAGACTCTCAGCCAGCCACTGAGCATCATAGGGCCTAAGACCTGGTATTTCCAACATATTTCCAGTGGTGCAGGTGTCTGGGAACCTCAATTCTAGAACACAAGTTCCTACTTGCCTCATCTGGCCATTCGTTTTGACACTGAGAATCTCTTCACTCAATCTTGAGTCAGAAGGTCTTCCTTATTTGGCGAAGCAGGTAAGGGGGAAAAAAGACTACGCTGATATCTTTAGGTCATTTAAATAATGAAGCCCAGCCTCCCAGATGGATATACCAGACTCCACACTCCATCTGCCAGTGGGGGCCGATTCTCCTGGCTGTGATCTTAGCGTGAATGGCAATGAGGCTTTATGACCAAAGTTCAAAAAAGAACTGAAATCATACCTAAGTGTTAAAAGGGCAGTAATTCATGGTTTTTATGCTTTTAAGGCATTAAGAAAAAAACACACAAACATTACAGAAGAACAAAAAGTCCTCTGTAACTCAACGTTTTTCAGCTATTTTAAAAAAAGCTCTGGTAGTCATTTTAAAAAATCACTCTCCTTTAGAGTAATGTGAACTGTCAAAATTAAT